GAGCGATGCCAAAGCTGCACGCAGCTTTGGCATCGCTCTGGGTCCTGTTCTGGTGGCTGGCGTCGGGGGAAGCCCGAGCTTCCCCCACCCCAGCCCCGCGCCTGGGGGAAAAAATAATTTCTTCCCCTTTATTCCCCCCCCCCAAAAAAAATCTAGGTGCGTCCTATGGGCCGGTGCGTCCTATAGGGCGAAAAATACGGTAGCTCATAAAGTTCAACGAAAAAAGTGGAAGACCCAGTGGATCAGTTCATTCTCCAATCAGTTTATGCATAAGGTCCATATATGTGAAAATGTCTATTTCGCTTGTCTGTTCATAGAGTCCAACAATCCACATGAAAGGTTGTTGCAGTTCCACAGAATCCTTTCACAGAGACAAGGATTTCCGGAATATTAGCCTTGTTTCACTGTCCTGGGCTCCACCAACCTCAGCCCTGCCGGGCCTCTTCTGGCAGGGGAAATAGGGACATTCCAGGATCAAATCAGAAGCCGGGAAGGATTTTGTTAATTCTGGGGCTGTCCCTGGGAAATCGGGGACATTTGGAGGGTATGATGCTTCTATGAGAATATGCCCAAACGCTAACATCTTCTTCAGAGGCCTTTTCCTGAGAGTCCCCTTCAGAGGTAGAATCATACGATTGTAGAATAATAATAATAATAATAATAATAATAATAATAATAATAATAATAATTTATTATTTATACCCCTCTCATCTGGCTGGGTTTCCCCAGCCACTCTGGGCGGCTTCCAACAAAGTATAAAAAATACATTAAAACACCAGTCACTAAACAGGGTTGCCTTCAGATGTCTTCTAAAAGTCAGATAGTTGTTTATTTCCTTGACATCTGATGGGAGGGCGTTCCACAGGGCGGTCACCACCACTGAGAAGGCCCTCTGCCTGGTTCCCTGTAACTTGGCTTCTTGCAGTAAGCGAATCCCTAGAAGGCCCTCGACGCTGGACCTCAGTGTCTGGGCAGAACGATGGGGGTGGAGTTGGTCATCTGCAATGCAGGAAGTGAGGTGGGGGAAGAAGTAACTAGGGAAAAAGGATTGTCAGAGGTGCAGTTCCATCGATGGAGCACTCTTTCTGGGGTGTGGCAAGGGGTCTGTGTGGCATCCTGTTTGCTAAGTTCTAGGTACAAGGTCAATATCTTTATTTATTGTCTGTGCATGTGTGATTTTGATGTAATCTTCTAAGTACGTCTTATACAGTATATAGGATGGGCTGCTAGCCATCCGAAGTATTTTAATATTTTTGCTGCAGCGTGTTGCTTTTGAATTTTGCTCTGCATTGAGCTGTCACGTTTTAATTTGATGTTTTAGTCTTTCTTTCTTTTTAACTGCACGCCACTTTGCACATTTTCATCGAAAATGGGAGAAGGGGGCTGTAAATTACTGAAATAATTTTCATCTCATTTCATTTATCTCACACTTCTTTCGGTGTTTCAGAACGATGTCCGTTCTGGGTTTTTGTTAATACACATGTGTTTACATTTACTTGATTAATCAATCAATCAAAAGGCAGGCGGTCAGCTTTGTTTTTCAACGGTTTAAAAATATTTATATCCAGCCTCTTCACATGGTGAGCAACAGGCTGGATACAGACGGTTAAGTTGATTGAGCTAAGGTCCCATTGAAAATCAAGTTAGCAGTGACTTGATTACAATGGGAACTGAGTGCGAGGAACACAGGTTTGTATCCAGTAAATTAATGGGCATGACTAACATAAGTCTATTGATTTCACTGAGTCTACTCGGAGTATGACATAGTGGGATCCATTGCCATAAAACAAAGCAATCACCAATAAAATATAGCCAAAGCAGCCAGCAAATTAAAATAGCACAAATCACATTAAAACCCTTTTAAAACCTAGTGAAATCATGGGGGTTTTATTTGGTGTCTAAAGCAATGCTAGGCTGAAGTCTTTGATTTGAGCTTTTTCCTGCACTTTTGGAAGCGGGGACCATACCCTCCAACATTTCTCCGATGAAAATACGGACGTCCTACTCCATAATAACAATAATTTAATTATTTGTACCCCGCCCATCTGTCTGGGTTGCTCCAGCCTTTCTGGGCGGCTTCCAACAGATGTAAAAACATAATAAAATGTCAAACATTAAAAAAACTTTCCAATACAGGTCTGCCTTCAGATGTCTCCTAAAGGTTGTCTAGTTACTTATCTCCATGGCTCGGGAGTCACGAAACTCCATACCCTCCGACATTTTTCCGATGAAAATAGGGATGTCCCAAGGGACTATATTTTAATATTTGCTTGGAAGCCGCCCAGAGTGGCTGGGGAAGCCCAGCCAGATGGGTGGGGTATAAATAAATTATTATTATTATTATTATTATTATTATTATTATTATTATTATTATTATTTGGGGGGCTTTATAGAGGAGGTGTCTGAGGGTTCCCTGACCATTTAAGCCACTGCTCCAAGTGGTGGTTTAAGATGCTCTAAACAGCCTAGCTCTCACTCAGGTTGAAAATATGGCCAGAACTCCCACAGAAACTAGGCTGCGGAATGACACAACATTGCTTTAATGCATCAGTCGTAGCCAATAAAAATTGCAGCTTGCAGAGTTAACTGAGAAAGAAATTATGTCTGGGGCTGCAGTATCTGATGCCATAATGTCCACTTTACAGCTTTGCCAATGTGGCTGGCTATTCCCTTGGTACCTGGGCATAGCCAGTAGAGTACAGATAATCTACTAATCTGGTTCCTATGCCACTCTTTCGCTAGAGTGAGTAGAAATAAATTGACATAAACATAGATGCCTGTTATTATTTTTCTTCCACAGCTGACAACTAGCCAAGTTGTTGGTGTTAAATGAAATAAGAATCTGAGCATCCATTTTTTTTCACTGCTTGAGGGCAATGTCAATCCAAATGTGGTTGTGTTTGGGGAGGCAATGCTCTCCTGCAGTGTGCAAAGAATTATAAAGTACGCTGCATTTCAGAAGGTGATGTTACCCTGTTTTTCTTCCTGGTATGAAACATGTTTACTTAGAAATAAGCTCCACTGAGTTCAATGGGACTTACATCTTGAAAACTAAGCCTTAGGAATGAAGCTTTTGCAAAGTATCACAGGAGAAAGCTTTCAAAACCGCACTAAGATAAAAAGATGAACACAAATTCTGTGCAATGCACCAGCTTTTGTGTAGAACACCAGAAATAAATCACATGGCACAGCATTCTTGGGATGGTGGTGCTTTAGAACTGAAGAGGAGGGACTGCGACCTTACTTTTCCATTATATGAAACACACAAACACATGTGTTCAGATCCTTCAACATAGAAAACTAGCATGAAAATTAGCTCTGACATCTAACATGCTAGCTTTTATTCTGCAGGGAGTCATACAACTATTCAATTGCGTGGCGAGATCCTGCCTCCTACCAGTAGAAATAAAGACACAGGACACAGTAATTTAGGTTAATGGTCTAAAATTAGGCCACAACTTTATTGGTTACAGGTGATGAGCGGTATTGGCTTAGGCATTGGTCTTATCGGCTATCTGGCTTCAGCCTGATTGCTTGAAGACCGGGAAGGGTTAACACCAGCAGGGTTGCACATCAACTAGGGACTCCCCCGGGGTCACCGCTCGGGGGCGTGCTTTAGGCCCTGACCTCCATAGGCTTCGGACGAGGCCATGCCCCCTGGAATCCTTTACCGGACTACCCTTCAATATTTGGGGGAGGTGATGGCACTCCTCCCCCCCCAGACATCTACATAACAATACCCATACCAATGCCTAACTGCCAAAGCCGAGTAAGTTGTGACGATTTGCTCCGAGGTAGGCGAAAAACCAAATGGCTGGTGCCAATTTGCCAAGTGGCCATAGCAAGGTCAAAAGAGGAACCTTGAAGGGTGGGTGGGTTGAGCTGAGCGGCCAAAGAGGGAGATTCCCGGCCGCACTTGCCTTAAATGAGGCAAGCCACACCCCCTGGGCCAGCCGATTGGCTGGCCCGGGGATGACGCAGCCGATGATTTCCCAGATCACGCCAGGCTGGAAGCCAGCCTCCGTGCGCGTGTTGGGGCGTGATGCCCGCAACACCACCTCCTCCCAAGGTCGGAAGTGGCTTTGTACAACCCTCCCTCTGTATTCTGAAGCAGTACAGTCTTGGGATTCTCAGATGAATGGTAGCATAGATGATGGTGGTGGTGGTCGTGATGACGATGACGATGATGATAACGATGATAATAATGATAATGATAATGATAATAGTAATAATAGGCGTGGGTGGTAAAATCTCAGGCCTCTAACAACTTGACCAGAGAGAGACTTGACCATTACTGATAGCATGGAAGCCAAGGCAACTTTTTCTGAAACTCAACAACCAACATCATCACTTACAGACACCGCTCTTTAACCTCTGGCAGCTCAAATTCTGGAATGCCTCTGTTTTGACTAGATTCACTTGAGCAGATATTTCCATGCCTCTCTCTCACCCGAAATAGTTCTCCCTGAGAGAGAATGTAGAGACAGAGCAGGAGTATGAACTCCCTCCTATCAGATGTCAAGGAAATAAACAACTCTCTGTCTTTTAGAAGACATCTGAAGGCAGCCCTGTTTAGGGAAGTTTTTAATGTTTGATGTCCTATCCCATTATTATTATTATTATTATTATTATTATTATTATTATTATTCTGTTGGGAGCTGCCCAGAGTGGGTGGGGTATAATTAATTGATTAATTACCACCAGATGGGTGGGGTATAATTAATTGATGATGATGATGATGATGACAAGTATGCAGCCGTCACCAGTCCTTGTGCTAGTGATTTACATGTGTCCACAATACATTGTGCAAAGGAGAACTTCCCTACACCTATCTTAAACTATCTTAAACCAACAGCAAATGCATTTTACTATCTTAAACCAACAGCAAATGAATTTTACTGGGGCCAGTATTACTGTTTCTTCTGATTGCTATCGTGCTCCCAAAACCCCAGTAATCAGATTCCTGGCTGATTTCTCTTTCTCTTGTTTCTCACCTCCAGTTTCTAAAGACCTGAGCACCCACCCTGCTCTTCACTGAAGCATGAACATTGGACATGGCCACCCGCCGCTGCACTCGGAAGCCTTCGCTGGTGCCTGGAGTCTCTAGGATGGTTTGGAAGCACCTGGTCCTCTTCTTCCTCTGGCTGCCATCGCTCGTTTGGGGCGGAGCCTCCCCCACCTCCTGCCCAGCCGCTTGTTCTTGCAGCAACCAGGCCAGCCGGGTCATCTGTACGCGCCGGGAGCTGGTGGAGGTGCCCGAGAGCATCTCCATCAACACGCGGTACCTCAACCTGCAGGAGAACAACATCCAGGTCATAAAGACGGACACTTTCAAGCACCTCCGTCACCTCGAGATTTTGCAGCTCAGCAAGAACCTCATCCGCAAGATTGAGGTGGGAGCCTTCAATGGCTTGCCCAACCTCAACACGCTGGAGCTTTTTGACAACCGGCTGACCACTGTCCCCACACAAGCCTTTGAGTACCTCTCCAAGTTGCGGGAGCTGTGGCTGAGGAACAACCCCATCGAAAGCATCCCTTCCTATGCCTTCAACCGAGTCCCTTCCTTGCGCCGACTGGACCTGGGAGAGCTCAAGAAGCTGGAGTACATCTCAGAGGCAGCTTTCGAAGGCTTGGTCAACCTGCGCTACCTGAACCTGGGCATGTGCAATCTCAAGGACATCCCTAACTTGACAGCCTTAGTGCGGCTGGAGGAACTGGAACTCTCTGGGAATCGCTTGGACATGATCCGGCCAGGCTCCTTCCAGGGGCTGACCAGCCTCCGCAAATTGTGGTTGATGCACGCCCAGGTGGCTACCATCGAACGCAACGCCTTCGATGACCTCAAGTCCTTGGAGGAGCTCAACCTCTCCCACAATAACTTGATGTCGTTGCCGCACGATCTCTTCACTCCCTTGCACCGCCTGGAGCGCGTCCACCTCAACCACAACCCTTGGCACTGCAACTGCGACGTGTTGTGGCTCAGCTGGTGGCTCAAGGAGACGGTGCCCAACAACACCACCTGCTGCGCCCGGTGCCACGCCCCACCCAACCTCAAAGGGCGCTACATCGGAGAGCTGGATCAAAGCCATTTCACCTGCTACGCCCCAGTTATAGTGGAGCCTCCAACCGACCTTAATGTGACTGAGGGGATGGCGGCTGAGCTGAAATGCCGGACGGGGACCTCCATGACGTCGGTCAACTGGTTGACGCCCAACGGCACGCTGATGACACATGGTTCCTACCGGGTGCGCATCTCAGTCCTCCACGATGGCACGCTCAACTTCACCAATGTGACCGTCCAGGATACAGGGCAGTACACCTGCATGGTGACTAATTCGGCGGGCAACACCACGGCTTCGGCCACACTCAACGTCTCAGCGGTGGACCCAGCCACCACAGGTTACACCTACTTCACAACGGTGACCGTGGAGACGATGGACCAAGGCCAAGAAGAATCTGTCCCCACGAAGAAGGAACCTGGGCCGACGCCGTCTCAGGGCTGGGGCATGACTTATTCCACCACCTCACTGACCCCTCGCAGCACCCGCAGCACGGAGAAGCCATTCACCATCCCCATCACCGACGTCACCGAGAGCGGCATGAAGGACCTGGACGACGTCATGAAGACCACCAAGATCATCATCGGCTGCTTTGTGGCCATCACCTTCATGGCTGCCGTGATGCTCATCGTCTTCTACAAGCTCCGCAAGCAGCACCAGCTTCACAAGCACCACGGCCCCACGCGCACCATCGAGATCATCAACGTCGAGGACGAGCTGCCCGCCTCGGCCGGGGCGCCCGGCGACAGCCACCTGGCTCTGCCCGCCATCGAGCACGACCACCTCAACCACTACGCCGCTTTCAAGGCCCACTACAACAACAATAGCGGCGGCGGACCCCTCACCTGCGGCTCCAAGAACCCCATGCTCAATTCCATCCACGAACCTCTCTTGTTCAAGAGCAGCTCGAAAGAGAATGTCCAAGAGACACAGATATGACGGCCAACAGACCCAGGCAGCGGGGAATTCTTGTGTGGTGGGAGGGTGCAAGTGGATTCGTACATGCGGTGGGGAGGGAGTTGAGGAACGGCTCCTCCGTGCCCTCCCCCCCACAAACAAACAAACAAACATCAGCAGATCTTTCCACCACCGTGGCAGATCTTGGATGCTGAGCCCTCGTCCGAGTGGACACCTTTGATTCTCACCACTTTAGCCTTTTCAGTTCTCTTATTTTCCTTTTGCAGAACAAGGTTCTACGCTCGCCCTCGGCCTGACCATTCCCCCCCTTTCCTTTCTCCACCCCCCCACCTCACTTTTCTTCTTTTTTCTACCGATCTCCCTCTGCATTGGAGACTTCTTTTTCTTTCTTTTTATACAGATGGGGCTGTTTCTGTATCCAACTACCTGCTGTATTACTTTAATAATTTTTTTTTTAAAAAAAAAAGAGGAAGGAAGAAAACAAACAACAACAAAATAAGGAAAGATCGCTATCCGATTTGTTTTCCTTTTTGACGCCATGGGAATAAACTTTAGGAAAGGAAAATAAAACCCAAGGGAAACGGGAGAGGGAAGAAGAAGAAGAAGATGATGATGAAAAAGAAGAAAGAAATCTTATTTTGATCCGCTTTCCGTCAAAATTCTATTTTCATCCAAATGGGATATACAAACTAAATAAATTAAGTAAAGAGACGGAAGGTCATGGTGGTGCCAGGGTCCCCCCCCCACCTTTGGAGCACGCGGGGATGCCAGGCGCACAGGGTTCGGGGGGGATTTTTTATGACTAGTATTATTACTATGGAATGGCAGGCATGGCCGGTGTGCCCCCCAGAGACACAGGGGCGTGGAGGTATTTTTTAATTTGTAATAATCTGGGGGTGGGAGTGAGGGGTTTGGTGGGGGGCTGCACTTCCGGCCACACACACAAAAAAAATCAAGGCCTGTCGATTCCCTTGGCATTTTGGGGTCTGGTCTGAGTTTCCTATTTTAATAAAATCCATAAAGATGTTTCCAACCCTCCCTAGGGTGCTTCTTTTGGGATGGGGGCAAGTGAGTGTGCCGCTTGCGTCGTGAGGCCGCTGTGGCTCAGGGCCAACGGAGTCTCACGTGCGCCAGGTTTCTTGAGGGATCGCCATGGCGATGACGTCAGCGAGGTATGTGCACGCAGGCTGCAACATGCATTATCTCGCAAAGAACACCCCTGTGGCTGTACCATACACTGTATACATGGCTGGAACTCATACCTTGGACAGGGAGGGCAGTCTAGGAGTTGGCACTGATATCGTTGCTCCATAGGGAGTGAAATGTGGCCTCTGCTGATGAATCTCCTTTTTTTTACATGGAATCCCAAGAACGGAGCCTGCTATTTTTTATTTTTTATTATAAAAAACCCCTAGCATGTGGTTCTGTTGTTTGCTAATTTATATAGCACCATTGATGAGTATGGTGCTGTTATTATTTGTAGGGACGTGGGTGGTGCTGTGGTCTAAACCACTGAGCCTCTTGGGCTTGCCGATCAGAAGGTCGGCAGTTCAAATCCCCGCAATGGGGTGAGCTCCCGTTGCTTGGTCCCAGCTCCTGCCAACCTAGCAGTTCAAAAGCACACCGGTGCAAGTAGATAAATAGGTACTGCTGCAGTGGGAAGGTAAGAGTGGCTGAGAAACTGAGAGACCTGATGGATCCTTCCACCCATCCCTGACCATTGACTATCCTGGCTGGGGCTGACGGGAGTCCGACAACATTGGGAAGGGCCCAAGTTCCTCATTCCTGCTAAATTATTTGTTTCTCTGTGTGGCCCTGCCATTGATTTGTGCTGGAGGTGAAAGCTAGAGGGGAGGTTCCCTACTTCTAAATGTACAGAGACGCAGGTGGTGCTGTGGTCTAAATCACTGAGCCTCTTGGGCTTGTCAATCGGAAGGTCGGCAATTTGAATCCCTGCAATGGGGTGAGCTCCCGTTGCTCTGTCCCAGCTCCTGCCAACCTAGCAGTTCAAAAGCATGACAATGCTAGTAGATAAATAGGTACTACTGTGGCTGGAAGGTAAACGGCATTTCTGTGCTCTCTGGTTTCTGTCACGGTGTCCCATTGCGCCAGAAGCTGTTTAGTCATGCTGGCCACATGACCCGGAAAGCTGTCTGTGGACAAATACCATCTCCCTTTGCCTGAAAGCGAGATGAGCGCTGCAATCCCATAGTCACCTTTGACAGGACTTAACCATCCAGGGGTCCTTTACTTTTTGCTGTACAAGGACCGCAGACTTAGACTGAGTCAGAGCTATTAGTCCATCTAATTCAGTTTCATCTATACCTGGAGTGGGGAATTTCCAGCTCATGAGCCAATCTTGGTCGTTTGGAGGAAGCCGTGACCAGATGCCCTATACTTGACATCATATACACATGACGTCGGGTGTGGGGTGGGTAACGGCAGAACATCAAAGGGAAAATCAGGAGCTGAAAGCGGGTTCCCAATTGTTACTTCCCTGGAGCGAGACACACCTCCACCCGCCCCAAAACAACTGCTTCTGTAGGTTCCTTCAAGTGATGCCATAAGGTTTTTCCGACCCCACAATTCTGCCCCCTCCCTCTATATATACTTAAAAACAAAACTGGATTTAATAATGAACGATAACAATGATTTAGAATACAGTGGTGCCTCGCAAGACGAAATTAATTCGTTCCGCAAGTCTCTTTGCCTTGCGAGTTTTTCGTCTTGCGATGCACGGTTTCCCATAGGAATGCATTGAAAATCAATTAATGCGTTCCTAGGGAAACCGCCTTCAGACCAGGTCCGGGGACAGTCTGTCCCCCGACCTCTTCTGAAGGCTGGGGGGGGGACAAGGGCTTTTCTTCCCACCCCCAGCATTTTAAAAAACCCCGGGACAGCGGAGGACTTCTCCGCTGTCCGGGGCAATCTTAAAATGCTGGCGGGCGGCATTTTAAAATCGCCCGGGACAGCGGAGGACTTCTCTGCTGTCCGGGGTGATTTAAAAGCCCCTGGGAAGGCAGGCAGGGGGGACAAAGATTTTCGCCCCCCGCCCGCCTTCAGAAGAGGTTCTGGACCTCTTCTGAAGGCGGGCGGGGGCGAAAGTCTTTGCTCCCCCCTGCCTGCCTTCCCGGGAGAGCGGAGAAAGGCAGCGCGTTTCTCCGCTGTCCCGGATGGCTTTTGAAGGCAGGCAGGGGGGAGCAAAGACTTTCGCCCCCCGCCCGCCTTCAGAAGAGGTCCTGGACCTCTTCTGAAGGCGGGCGGGGGGCGAAAGTATTTGCTTCCCCCCCCTTCAAAAGCTGTCCTGGACAGGCTTCGCGGACCTCTCCGCAAGCAGCGGGAGCGCTCCCGCTGCTTGCGGAGAGTTGCCAGCATGCCGAAGCCTGCGCGCGCTGAGATCAGCGCGCCCAGGCTTCGCGGCCCCGCCGCCCGGCATCGGAGCTTCGTTCCGATGCCGGGCGGTGGGAGGAGGTCCGAGGACAGTGGGGAAGACGCGCTGCGCTTCCCCGCTGTCCCAGAGATTTCCCTATGGGCTTTCGTCTTGCGAAGCAAGCCCATAGGGAAATTCGTTTTGCGAAGCGCCTCCAAAACGGAAAACCCTTTCGTCTAGCGGGTTTTCCGTCTTGCGAGGCGTTCGTCTTGCGGGGTACCACTGTAGTGCAAAATAGCTGGTGGGAAAGGCTTTTGAAAGGAAATCTTGCATCACAATATTTTGAAGGGCAGCTGTGTTTCAGCTCATCTGCTGGTTCAGGAAGGGCAAATTGGGTAGGGCTGTATGAAAATGCAAAGTGAACAAAGAGGCTTAAAACCCCCTACCCAATGCCTTATCCCCAACCAAGCCAGGCTAGGCGCCCCGCCCCCCCCCCCCGAAATCTGGCACAGGACCGCCCACCAGCGGCGAGGGCTGAGGAGTGTGGAGGATGTGTGCCATGATTTGACCATGTGCACACTTTTGTATGTGAGATACAACAAGCATTTCTTGAAGGGACGGGTCTAATGTATCAGGCTGAGCATGTACACAGGAAAATGCTGCAGTTTACGACCTTGGTTTGTCGGAAACAAATGGAGATTTAATTTCCTGCAACCTGAGAGATTCTTGAAAAGAGCTTTCAGTAGCACCTTAGAGGCCAACTAAGTTTGTTATTGGTATGAGCTTTTGTGTGCATGCACACTTCTTCAGATAACTATCTGAAGAAGAAGAAGAAGAAGAAGAAGAAGAAGAAGAAGAAGAAGAAGAAGAAGAAGAGGAGGAGGAGGAGGAGGAGGAGGAGGAGGAGGAGGAGGAGGAGGAGGAGGAGGAGGAGTTTGGAAAGCTCATACCAATAACAAACTTAGTCTCTAAGGTGCTACTGGAAGGAATTTTTTTCATTTTGTTTTCGACTACGGCAGACCAACACGGCTACCTACCTGTAACTTGAAAAGAGCTTTCAGACATTCTCAGATTGTGCTCCCAGCATACTAGTCCCTTTCACCAAAAAAACGCCTGGAATATCCAATTGAGCTATTGGCTAGAAGATGACGTGACTATTATTTTTAGTGGATCCAAGCTGTTTCCTATTCAGTGGGCGATCCGCTGAGACTCTCCTATGAATATTATCAGTGACTTTATTGGGGAGGCTGGGAGTAAAATGCAAGTGGGTACATCAGCTGAAATGCGTTAGCTGGAAAATGAAAGGTGCAAAATATTTCCCATGCCCTCTCAGCATTACATTTGAGGGCATAAACACATCGTTATTCCCCAGTGGGATTTATATTGCTTTGAAGTATGTTTCCCAAAGGGGGACTTGATGCAGCTTTGATCCTATGGGCACATGCGCCTGGAACATGCTTTTCTTTCAAAACACACGTGTCCAGAGGAGGGCAACCAAAATGGTCAAAGGCCTGGAAACGATGCCTTATGAGGAACGGCTAAGGGAGCTGGGCATGTTTAGCCTGGAGAAGAGGAGGTTAAGGGGTGATATGATAGCCATGTTCAAATATATAAAAGGATGTCATATAGAGGAGGGAGAAGGGTTGTTTTCTGCTGCTCCAGAGAAGCGGACACGGAGCAATGGATCCAAACTACAAGAAAGAAGATTCCACCTAAACATTAGGAAGAACTTCCTGACAGTAAGAGCT